TAGACACCATTTATATACTGATACGTGAGAAGAGGGGACAGAGTTGTGAGCAAAGGCTTGAATCGCTATTACAGTCAAAACTGTTTAGTTTCGCACTCGATATCAATAAAGTCCGACACAAAGTGGTTGCCATCGCCGGCGACCTATCCATCGATGGTATGGGTCTTAAGGTATAGTTTATATATTGTTTTAATAGCAACTATTTTTTACCATAGCTATATATAAATGTTTATTACTTTTAAGAATAATTATTGATTTTATTAATAATTTATATAAATATTATTTAATAATTTATGACAATTAAAATGATGTGCACTATTGGGTGCAGTGTTATAAAAATAGTTTGCTTTAATTGATCCATCTTATAGTGTACTAAATGTGCACTCATTATGACTACAAAAGTGTATATTAAGCTGAAATTATTGCACTATAACTACAGCATACTTATGGTGTATGCAAACAATTAAAAACATAAGATAATTATTGTACTAGCATGAAATAAGAAAAATGTGGCAGAAATTGTATATAGATGATGCTTTTCGGTGTTGACTTTAGGCTAGACATGTTTGATAGGTATGTCGATATTGTGTATATAATTATAATGATAGCAATACTATTTATTTTATTTAGTGTACATTGAAGTGATGCCAATAATTAAAGTTATTAAAATGATTTTCGCAATAGTTTGTAGTATTTTTTATTTCACTAATTATAACTTTATTTAAGTTTCACAAATACGTGATAAGTTTTATTTGTGATTCACTGTTTATTGAATGAAAAAGTTTTTTAGCTTGCCACATTTTTGTTTTAAAAATTAATTATACTTTTTTTGTTAGCAATTAAATTAATATTATTTTGTATTATTTTTTATCATCAGTAATTTGAATATTCTTAATAATAATGTTAAAATTTTAGTAGTGACTCTCGTCCATAAATATAAAAATATCTAACTAGCTCTGTACCATAATTATTAATAAATATAATTTACAGTTTATAAATTATAACGAAATAAAACATTGTGAGAATAAAATAAAAATCCTTAAAATATCTAAACATGGTCAATATTAAAAACTAATTATTTTAATTTGCAATTTATTAATACAGTATTTGCAAAAGTAACAAAAAAATACAATTATTAAATTTAAACATCTTTAAACATTTTAAATATTTAACTAAACAATAATTTCTAATAGTTAATATTTAAAGCTTATAAAATCAACAATTATTTAGTATAAAATTGTATCGTAATGATAAAATAAAAATTTACAAAAAACTAACCATTTATAAATAAACTCAATTATTTTTACATCGAGAACAAATATTGAATTACAATTAATTAAACTAATCGTTTAATTAAAAGACACTAGCAATGATTTGCGTTTAACCAAGATAATTATAAATATTTTGCTAAATATATATTGTAGAGTAAAATATAAAATATTTACAGTTTATAGAACATTATTAAGAATATCATTGTGTAAAATAAAATAAAATTACATAGAATCCATAAAATTTTAGAACTAACCTAATCTATTGTAAATAAACTTAAATACTTGTACATAAAAAATTATTTTAATCTGGATTAATATAAATAAAGTACTTTTATTCAGACCTTAAGTAATTATAATATGTAAATAACCATGAACCATAATTTTAATAGTATAAATTCACAGTTTTTAAAGTATCATTATCAATAACAAAATTTAAGGAAAGTACACATAAAATTGTCATCTCAATTATTTATATAATAAAACTTATTTATTTATTTTAATCAAGTTTAATTAAGCTATTATTAAAATAAAATTGTCACAGACATGATGACACCATAGATATAATAAATATTTGAGTAGCATATTGTAATAATTTATAATATTATAAATTTACAGCTTTCTAGCTGACTATATCAGGAATATCATTGTATCAATATTCTTATATTAATCTTTAATTATCAATTAAACAAAGTTTAATTTTAAAATTTATAAACTCTAATCATACATAAATAAACTCAACTATATCTACAAATAAAAACATTATGTACACCAGGACTCGGACCGGGAACTACTGGTATCAAAGGTGTCGGTGATATTTCACGTAGCGGGAGATGTGAAGTTCAATGAGACGATTAGGGATGCGGTCACTCATAACCTGATTGGCACCGCACAAGTGGTGCGACTCTGCCATCAGTGCCGGGCATTGGAAGCACTCATTCACGTGTCCACAGCCTATGCCTTCTGTCAGCGCTCGGACTTAGAGGAGAAGATATATCCCATGAAAGTCACGCCCGAAGAGGTTATACGTGCCGTACAGACCATGAATGACACCGAACTTACCCGGTATTACATGTTTCATATTATTTTGACTGTAAACAAAAATTGCTATAATTAAACTAACACTTTACCTTTAATACCACCAGTACCCCTATTGCCTGTTCGGTCATTTACCACCATAGTCAATTAATTTTAATACACTCTCGTCAAAGTGTAAAATGATTACTTCAAAAATTATTAAATAGAATTTGTTATTAAATTGAATAAATCTTGATTTATATAAAATTAGTAGGCTGGTATTTTGACAATATATAAACAATCGCATAGCGTAAACCTTTCCAAATTATTTACAAACTAATTATTTTATATCTTATGTTTATAATTATCATTTTAAACATTACAGTTTACAATTATTTTATTAAACAACTTGTTTATATTAAAATACAAATTGATCTAATTAATTATTTTATAACATTATTTAGAAACCACCTTGGGCAAGTTCATAGCCTGTTATTTATATTCAAAAAACTTGTGTTCAAATCGTTGTCATATTTCGAGAGAGAGAGAGAGAGAGAGAGAGAGA